GCACCCACATTTGCATTGGTTATCCGACTTGTAGAACATCTACATTAATAGTATCTAACGCGTGTTTTTTGTTTATTTCTTGATAATCTATTCTTGAATATTAATGTTGCGTACGCTCTACTTACTCTTAATATTTACTGTATAAGCATTATCTGCAAAAACGCTCCTGGATTCCCTAATTAGTTGATTAAGCTTAAAGAGCATAATTAAGGGCTTGTATAGAACTTAATACTTACTAAGATTAACAGATATATATTCTGTTTTCTCTGGTAAGATAATAATGCTGTATTAGCTATAATAACTGCATTTCGCCTTAAAGATAAGATAATACTACGTTATTAATAATAGTTAGTACTTACCTTAACTAATACTTATATTATACGTCCCGTTTTTAGAGAATTCGTTTATAAATAGCTTGAAATCCCTCTTGGAATTAATTAATATAACCACTTTATAGGTGGTATTGATATTGCAGATCAACTTTAGACAAATATAACTGTTTATTAATGTTAGGAATCTCGTACTTAGCGTCCCCTTTGGTATTATATTCTAGATACTTGCTTAATCAATTTGGAAGCCGCTCGAATATTGGAGTCTGCCTTGATGGCGGATTCGGATGGGGGCTGTATGAGATCCGGTCCAGCTGAGGATGCGATAGAGCCAATGGGAAAAACACTTCAACAGGGCCGCCTCGAGATCTGCCTTGCTCATTTTCTCTAATTATCAGAATCTAAGTTTCAAGCGGCCAGGAGCCTATACGGGCGCATGATAGAGCTAATAGGTGAAATGCCTCGCGGGGGCTGTGTTGAGATCCACTTCACTGCTCTGACCTCGTTATCTTGGATGATGGCCTCAAACCTGGACGGTTTCTTAATTGGAAGTTTATGCAGGGCAAGCTAGCGCAATCATACTCCCGTAATCCAATCATCTTTACAGAGTCATAGCTCTAACCGGCTTTTCACACATAGTGGCGTTACAGGTGAATATCCGGTACCCTTGCAGTGTTGCTCTCAGGCGGTCACGAGGCGCAGGGCTGCCGGAATACAAAAAGGGTTTCGAGAGATCAGCCAGGTTCTGCTTCTTTATCATGCGATCTGTGACATCCGATTGTGTGTGACCAACTGCTTAGCGCTTCCAGGTGTGGTTATGCGTAGACAGGGGATTAGCTATAAGCTCACAAGAAAGGTCAGGAGTCAAAGGCATTATGTAGAAGATTAATCTGGAGTAAAGAAATGTTGCTTAAGTACTACTTTTGATAGTAGACCTACGCAGGTCTGAAGAGAAGGATAACCATAGCAGGAAGAGCTATAAAGGAGGAGCAGCTATAGCGTGATCACTAGGCCTGAGTAAAGAGCAATAACGAGCTGTTAGAGGCTAATCCCTATTGTAATACACAGAGAGATAAGCAAGTCAGGCAGTTATAGCTATTATGAATTCGGCAAAGGACTAGAGCCGCTCATCTATAAAACCCCTGACCTCTTCCTTACTTAGATCTAGCAGCTCTTTTCTTTTAGATTAGAAAAAGCCTACATCTTTTTCTTTTCCTTCACAGTATTTATATTTTCTATTACGTCTAAGCAATCCTACTGCGATAATAGAAGTCCTTTCCTACTAACTGTACTCTAGAAAGTATAGTCTATTTCCTTAGGGCGAGCTGCTTCTTACTAATAAATTTCTGGCCTTGTCCTTAAGTAGTTTAACCTAAAAATAATTATTTATTTTAAGTTAGAATAAGCTATTAAATAATATATTATAGCTTTATGATATTTAATACTTAAATATAAAGTCAATTATGTCTAATATATCTAAAGACTAATAATATAGATAGTAATAAAAGCAGTAATAACAAGCTTCCTTTACTATAGAAGCTCTTTTTATCTGTAACACAGGCTTATTAGGCTAACCTCAAAGTAAGCTAATAATCCTATACTATATTCTAAACCAGTTAGGATGACTATTTACTAACTAAACTCTGTTAACAAGCTTTCAAACTTTCGTCCGTCTTCTAAAACCCTCTCTGCTCTCCCTTCCTAAATCTGTCTATCTAAGTAATCAAAAGTCTAGCGCTGCCTTCTTTAAGCATTACGCCTGCGTTCTGGAAATCATTTTTTAAGAATATCTGTTGTTCTTTAACTCTTTACCTGCGGAAATACTAATGTTTACAAATTAGACTAAGACTAATAATAAGTCTATTATTTAGTTATCTGTAATTCCTAGTTATTATATATCTAAAGGCTTCTTTATAAATAACTCTGTTAGTAATAGCTATTATATTAGTTATAAAAATAGTTAGAGTAAACTATTAATTATTAATTCTGTGTTAGCTATAAGTTAATAATTAATAGAGAATCCTATTATTATTAATAATAATAATAAGGATAATAATCTAATAAATTAATTTAATTATACCTTATATTAAATAATTATAAATAACTTAGGAGTAAAGAACAAGAATACAGATAAGAATACTAATGTTACTACTTATATAGATAAGGGCGTAACTAACTTTAATCTAGATAATATAGTAATGTTATAAAGTGATAATCGCTTAATAATTATTATATTAATTTTCTTCTCTTCTGAAATCCCTAAGAGCGATAATAGGGCTATATTAAAAGAGGAGAAGCAACTTTACTTATCTATATAAGGAGATTTTATTATTAGTCTCCCTAGCAAACGAAGTCGCAGCTTAAGCAGATCAGGTTAGGCTAATAGCTATAGCAGCGATTAGGTCCTTAACGTTTTCACCAAGGACGATAGTAAGGAATCTATGTAGGTTTAATTGCTTTAAACTGAGGTTAGATTTAATTGATATTGAAAAATTATCTAATTTTGTTTAAAATCTAAGTTATTGTTTGTGAAAAACTTTTTTGATAATTTAGCGACCAGGAATACGAGGTCCACCAGGTCGTCGGCGAGTCAGGATCAGGATATGAAGTCAGCGCCCTCACTAAGATCTGGTTACCCAAGGCATCGGTGCATCCCAAGCTGGTGAGGAAATACCAGGCAGAGCAGAGAGCGGCCACCCGGGTCCGGACGCGCTGGTCGTCCAGGCTGCAAAATAAGAATTGAGCGTGACGAATTAATGATTGATGGAAGATCCCTCAGGTATTAGGAGTTGAGCATATGAACACGTTATCAAGGTACGAGAATGGCGGCCTCCATATTCGTGTAGACGCTCTCGCCTAATCGCTCACAAGTACAAATTGAATCGTCCTCTATACCACCCATGTCGTCAACAGGCCATACAGATTGTATCATTTCTTGGTTCTACAGGCTCATTTCCCTTTTCATCCGAGATAGCTACGCATAAGATTGCAAGTTGCCAACTTGACCCGCCCCTCTGAAATCATATTTAAAGTCCTCGCCGGCGGCGATGACGACCTCGAGATGAGACATATTTACCGACATCCATTTCGAGTCGCTAACGCGTAAGCCGTGGATACAGTGTTTTTGATCTGAGGTACACGAACAATCAGTATGCGAGTCTTTTCGAACGTTCCGTAGGAAAGCCTACCTGACGACCGTTGATGTCTTTTTCCGCAAGACGCTCAAGGTCCTTGCGACTGTAAGACGCCCGTCCCTCTTTAGTGATAGCCTTTTCGAGAAAGCCTTTCCAAATGTCTCTTCTATCATTTAGACTTAAAGATTTATACCTTAACGGGAGGTGTCTATTTAACTCGGTTGGTCGTGAGGAACATGATACCTTGATAATACTCTAATTCGCGGCGGCGGTGGCATCAGCATATATGAAGGAGCTGTTGACGGTCATCCCGGCTCCACAGGTGGCGCAGACACGAAATGCCGTTAAAAGTACAGCATCACGTGAGTCCTCTTCACCGGCCGTGGGATATTGAAATTGCAAATGATCGCCGTGGCTTGACTGTTGAAAAAAAAGCTGGCCATGTGTGCATGATTTTCGCGAAGAACTGACATATGTCCAGCGTTTCAGCTAGGTCTGCATCTTGGAGAGGCTCCTGTGATCGACCCGAACCTCTTCGTTGGACGCCTTCCCGAGCTGGAGAGGATGGAAGAGATCCTCCAAAGCAGTCAATCTGGAGAACAGCGTCGATTGATCCTCAGCGGTATGGGCGGCATCGGCAAGACACAGCTCGCCATTGCCTATGCCCAGCGCCACCGCGGCTCGTACGAGTCAATCTTCTGGCTGAGTGCCGCATCGGAGGTCGCTCTCAAGACGAGTCTGCGATCGATGGCAGAACGGTTTATGGAGGTGGCGGAATACGAGAAGTTCGAAGATGAGCAGATCCTCCTCCCCAGAACATTCTCTTGGTCATTGATACCCATCCTTGTCCTGCGTGAGTGTAAGAGTCGAGATACCTTGTGTAGGCATGTGACAAGGGGCTAAACAAGCTCACGTCGAGGGGCTGCAGACGCTGAGTTGTATGAGGAGGAAGGATAAGAACAAGGATCCGTAATGAGTCTGCCAATGAGATGAAACCCCAGTTGATATGGCTTGAATGGCCATCAAGAATCAGCAGCCGCTGGCGGCTTCCTTTTGTCCGAGTATGCCGATCGAAAAGCCGCAGCCAGGAGAGCCCTAGGACATCATTGGTCCAGCCAGTAGTAGAGGAAGTAAAATAGGCTTCATCCTCCTCACCAAGATCCTCTACCCAGCTGCTTTGAAGGTCATTTGAGGACCCTTCATAGATTAACGCGGGTGGAAGAGCGGTTCCGTCTGCGGAGATGGCAGCCAGTAGTGAAATGAACTCACTGTTACCATCTTGCTTAACTCCACGAACTCTACCCGATTTATACGCCTCTTTTGACACAATCCTCAGTTTCTTGCTTGTTTGACCGATCAAGAAGCCCTTTTCGTCAAAATTATAGGTATCTTGAGGTCTAAGGTTGTATTTCTGGATGGCTTCTGTAAGCTATCAAAAAAGGTTAGCAAAGAGCTGTTAAATAACAAACACCGATCGCACAAGAGAGTAAAAATGCTTAAAAGTAGTAGGATTTTCAGCAGAAGCACACTTGTTATCAATAGGGCGCAGATAAACGCGACAAAGACGATCTTGATGCCGCTTTACAAAGCGGGCTGGCCAGTTCTTCCCAACCTCCGCGTGGAGGATCTCTTCAGCAAGGTTTTTGACAATTTGAGTGGTTGGGGGTATGAATTTATTCGTCAAAGCATCGATATGACGCAAAATCTCGTCTTCTTGAACTTCGTTAAGCCGCTGGCGGGTCTCTGAAATTGATTGCTGCTTGGAGACCGAAATTCCTTTGTACCGCTTCGACAACGTCGATCGGTTCAATCCGAACTTTTTTGCCACTGCAGTAAGATTCGGCTTTTCGAGACGGTTCAAATGAGCTATAGCCAGCTGTATTTGCTCTTCATTTGACATTGTGGTTGTTGGCTGAAGTTGCGGACAAAAATTGCAAAAATTGGGATTTGAGTGGGGGCGAGCGCTGAGCGGGGAGCACGAGTATGGTCCAAGCCATAGCGGGCCTTACCCCGCACAATATATATTTGGAAAGTGGGCAATCACGAACAACCTAACCAGTCTGGACAGTTTGTCTTCTGAACTATTTCGAAGAACGGAAGGAATAAATAGTGCTTCAGCCAGGAACTCGCGCTCAAGGAGTAGATAGCATATCTCAAAGTAAGTACGGTCAAAATCCTCTTATATTATGGAAGGGTTTTACATTGAATATTCAGAAATGGCATTCGCAGAGGAACAAGCTCCCTCATGGGTTCACCAAGACTTTCACGTGAGGCCTGAACGCAAAGCTTGTAAAATGTGTTGATCTAACAGAGATGTAGGAAGTATGTATATAGTTTGGCCATCTAAGGCAAATCTCTAATGGGAACGTTAAAATATAGGAGGTATATAACGCTATATAAGGAAGAAGGATAATTGCTGATCATGGTGTGCTTGATGGTGTAGAGGGTAAGTTGATCTATCGGAGATGGGCGAGACGCGATGACTGCTGACCGTAGTGTGCTTGTTGGTGTAGCTGGTAAGTTGATCATCGGAGATAGGCGAGATACGATGACTGCTGACCGTGGTGTGCTTGTTGGTGTAGCTGGTAAGTTGATCTATCGAAGATGGGCGAGATGTGTTGTAAAATGTGTTGATCTAACAGAGATGTAGGAAGTATGTATATAGTTTGGCCATCTAAGGCAAATCTCTAATGGGAACGTTAAAATATAGGAGGTATATAACGCTATATAAGGAAGAAGGATAATTGCTGATCATGGTGTGCTTGATGGTGTAGAGGGTAAGTTGATCTATCGGAGATGGGTGAGACGTGATAACTGCTGACTGTAGTGTGCTTGTTATTATAGTTAGTAAGTTGATCTATCAGAGACATGATGACTGCTGACTGTGGTGTGCTTGTTGGTGTAGTGGGTAAGTTGATCTATTAGAGATGGGTGAGATGTAATGACTGTTGACTATGGTGTGCTTGTTGGTGTAGAGGGTAAGTTGATCTATCGGAGATGGGTGAGACGTGATAACTGCTGACTGTAGTGTGCTTGTTATTATAGTTAGTAAGTTGATCTATCAGAGACATGATGACTGCTGACTGTGGTGTGCTTATTAGTATAGCTAGTAAGTTGATCATCGGAGATAGGCGAGATATAATGACTACTGACTGTGGTGTGCTTATTAGTGTAGAGGGTAAGTTAATCTATCAGAGATAGGTGAGACGTGATAATTACTGACTATGGTATGCTTGTTAATATAGCTAGTAAGTTAATCATCAGAGATGGGCGAGACGTGATGACTGCTGATCGTGGTGTGCTTATTGATATAAGAGGTAAGTTGATCTATCAGAGATAGGTGAGACGTGATAATTACTGACTATGGTATGCTTGTTAATATAGCTAGTAAGTTAATCATCAGAGATGGGCGAGACGTGATGACTGCTGATCGTGGTGTGCTTATTGATATAAGAGGTAAGTTGATCTATCAGAGATAGGTGAGACGCGATGACTGCTGACCGTGGTGTGCTTATTAATATAGAGGGTAAGTTGATCATTAGAGATAGGCGAGATATAATGACTGCTGACTGTGGTGTGCTTGTTGATGTAGGAAGTAAGTTGATATATCAGAGATAAGTAAGACGTAATAACTGCTGACTGTGGTATGCTTGTTAGTGTAGGAGGTAAGTTGATCTATCAGAGATGGGTAAGACGCGATGACTACTAACCATAGTGTGCTTATTGGTGTAAGAGGTAAGTTGATCTATCAGAGATGGGTGAGACGCGATGACTGCTGACTGTGGTGTGCTTGTTAATATAGAGAGTAAGTTGATTATTAGAGATGGGCGAGATACGATGACTACTAACTGTGGTGTACTTGTTGATATAGGAAGTAAGTTAATATATCAGAGATGAGTAAGACGTGATAACTGCTGACTATAGTATGCTTGTTAGTGTAAGAGGTAAGTTAATCTATTAGAGATAAGTAAAACGTAATGACTGCTAACTGTAGTGTGCTTATTAATATAGCTAGTAAGTTGATCTATCAGAGATAGGCGAGACATAATGACTACTAACTGTGATGTGCTTATTAGTATAGCTAGTAAGTTAATCTATTAAAGATGAGTAAAACGTGATAACTACTGACTGTGGTATGCTTATTAGTATAAAGGGTAAGTTGATCTATCAGAGATAGGCGAAACGTGATAACTACTAACTGTGATATGCTTATTAATATAAGAAGTAAGTTAATTTATTAGAGATAGGTGAGACGTAATAACTGCTAACTATAGTGTGCTTGTTAATATAAGAGGTAAGTTGATTTATCAGAGATAGGTAAGACGTAATAACTGCTGACTGTAGTATGCATATTAGTATAGGTGGTAAGTTAATCTATCAGAGATAGGTGAGACGTAATGACTACTCACTGTGGTGTGCTTATTAGTATAGGTGGTAAGTTAATCTTTAAAGATAAGTAAGATACAATAACTGCTAACTATCCCTTGTGACCCCGAATACATCGAAATGAGAGTCCTTCCTATTTGGGAATAGCTTATTCGCTTATAAAAAGCTAATTAGTATAGTTACAAAACTATAAATAGTATTATTTAAGAGCATACTCTTTTAGCTTTCGAATGATATTATTTATAGTTTTGTAACTATACTAATTAGCTTTTTATAAGCGAATAAGCTATTCCCAAATAGGAAGGACTCTCATTTCGATGTATTCGGGGTCACAAGGGATAGTGTGCTTATTAGTGTAAGAGGTAAGTTAATCTTTAGAGATAAGTAAAACGTGATGACTGCTAACTATAGTGTGCTTATTATTATAGTTAGTAAGTTAATTTATTAAAGACATAATAACTATTAACTATAGTGTGTTTATTATTATAAGAGGTAAGTTAACTTATTAGAAATAAGTGAGACGTAATAACTATTAATTGTGGTGTACTTATTAGTATAGCTAGTAAGTTGATCTATTAGAGATAAGCGAGATATAATAACTGCTAACTATAATGTACTTATTAGTGTAGAGGGTAAGTTAATCTATTAGAGATAAGTAAGACGTAATAACTGCTGACTATAGTATGCTTATTAGTATAAGTAATAAGTTAATTTATTAGAGATAAGTAAGATGTAATGACTACTGACTATAATGTGCTTATTAGTATAAGATATAAGTTGATATATTAAAGATAAGTAAGACATAATAACTGCTAACTATAGTATGCTTGTTAGTATAGCTAGTAAGTTAATCTATTAGAGATAGGCAAGATATAATAACTACTAATTATAATGTGCTTATTAGTATAGCTGATAAGTTAATGTATTAAAGATAAATAAAATGTAATAACTACTAACTATAGTATACTTATTAGTATAAAGGGTAAGTTAATCTATTAGAGATAGGTAAAACGTAATAACTGCTGATTATAGTGTGCTTATTAATATAGGAGATAAGTTAATCTATCAAGATAGATGAGATATAATAATTGCTGATTATAGTATGCTTGTTGATATAAAAGGTACGTTGATCTATTAGAGATAAGTAAGATATAATAATTACTGATTGTAGTGTACTTATTAATATAGTTTATATATTAATTATTAGAGATGAGCAAGATATAATGATTGCTGACTGTAGTATGCTTATTAGTGTAGGAGGTAAGTTGATTTATCAAAGATAGGTGAGACGTGATAATTGCTAACTGTAGTATGTTTATTAATGTAGGAGGTAAGTTAATCTATTAGAGATGGGTGTTACGACATAACCTGCGCAATGGCCCAGAGGGGTATTAGGGCTGAGGGCTAGGGCAGGCTTGGCGCTCTGAGCGTCATACCTCGCTTTTCGCCTTCATAGCACTTAGATAGTTTAGTCTTCACCATACCAATCGACATAGTTATATAGTTGCCTTCTATAGCTTCTTCGTGACTCTCCGCTATCTCTATAGCACCCCCATACCCTGTTGCACAGCTTCCCGCGTAACAATTAGTGGCCACGCCGGTGAACGCTTAATTGCGGGCGCCACAGCTACCCTGCCTACCCTCGAACTTCGTCAAGGCCTATCCTTCGAAATTCAACCCTCCTGAGCTTGTAAGGTATCCCTGCGGCTCACTGATAACCTGCTAGGCCAGCTCCTCGCCTCAAGCAGCTCTCTGACCTTCTCGATCTCTGAAATTTCGAATCCTCAAATTTCGAGCCTTTCGAGTCCTCCTTGAGCAAACTCAACGCTCTCCTGCCCTCCTCTCTACAAACCGACCTCTGTTAACGCCTGCGCGCAAGATAAGACTCGCCAGGCATCCAGAAGTCGCAGAAATCCTTGAAACAGGCTAGTCCGGTTCGTCTCTACTAGTTGTTTATTAGGTAGCGCAAATATAAGTCCTACAGAGCGCTTGCGTGCATAGTACGATCTCTCCGCGCCCACAACCCTGCTACTGGTCGAGCCTTATTTACAAAGAACAAGGGTGAACCTGAGGAAGCAGATACAAATAATGAACCTGAAGAAGCAGATAAGAAGGAAGAAATCAAAGAAACAAGCAAGATTACACATTCTCTAGTCATGGATTAACAAGCCTTTATAGAGGCGCTAGATTGCGTGGCTGCTATAAATAGAGAGGTACTAGAGCGTACATCTGCTATAAATAGAGAGATAATTGCTAAGATTCAACAAGTGTTAGTAGCAACAGCAAAAGCAGAGACTCTAAAACCCTCTAAGGTATATCTTTTCAAGCCTATAAGCTGTCAGAATAAGAAGTTAGCTCACATCTTTATTAAGTGAATTACTAATACTTAGAAGATTTATCAAAATAATGCTTCTAAGCTTACTATACTTTTATCTTGTTATTTAGATAATAAGATAACTTATATATAGTACTTTGTACTCTTAACAGATAAGAAGGAAGTTTTATTAGAATCCTTTGCCTAATAAATTAAGGTAATTAAGCAAGATTTTATAAGTACTAATGCTTAACTACGCTCTAACACAAATAAAGAGATGTTTTGTTAAAACTAAAACTATTCGTTAGCAGAGTATATTAATAAGAAAGTCAGCAAGCTATATGTTGCTAGCATAACTTCTAAAGAAGATATTATTATAAAAGTCTATAAAGGCCTTTAATACGCCCCGGAATTACAGCTTTCTATAGCAGCTCACAACCGCTCTACATTATAACAATTCTGCAACCTTCTGTACAAAGTATAGGATAATTACTGACGCCTCTATAAAGAAAAGGCTAAGGCTAAAGAACCTTGTTACAGCTCTTGAGTTTAACCTAGCTACTCTATAGCCTTTAGACCTGATTGATATGCTGAGAAATCATATAATAGAGACTATAAGAAGCAGAAGAGTAAGGAAGAGGCTAAGCAGCGCTTTAACACCTCTGCTAAAGCTAGAGACGTTCCTTCTAGCACTAGTCCATTATACCCTTGCTGAAAGTGCTCACCTAGAGGTTTAAAAGCCAACTATTAGAATTTCGAATGCCCTCTTAAAGATAAGAAGAAGGCCTTTAACGCTAAGGAAGAGGACGTATCTTCTAATAAAGAACCTGACAAGGACTATTAATATCGCTAGCGCGCTTATATAGTATGGCGAGAACAGCTTAATAAGGACTCTAGCGAAGAGGAAGCCAACACTAATAAGGAGATACTCGCCAATTTTGATATTGTGTGTCACAAATGTCAAGAATCGTTTCTATTTAGTAATCAATTCTATAGTCATCTCAAGGCTTTTAGCGCTTATACTATTAAAAAGATTTCATCAGTTATTAATCTTATAGCCAAACTAAAGAGCAAGCAGCTAAAAGGAATAGCTAATTCTACTAAGACCTACGTTAAAGTATATTTAAGCGCTAATAGCAACATCACACAAATCTTTACTACTGTTGTAGACTTTAGTTTTGGCCGCTTAGCAATAAACTATAAGCTACTTGATAGCGTGCCTTATACTATTAAAGCTATTAAACATCTAATTATTTGTGGTATTAAAGGAAGAAAAAAGATCTCTAAGCTAGCAAAGTTTGTCTTTTACCTCTAAAGTAATAAGGGAGTCTTTTTAAAACTCGAGATTAAAACACTTATTTTTAATAATTTAGGCACTAGTCTGCTTGTTAGTACTAACTATATCAAAGTCTAGAACTTAATTCTAGATATCCCTTATTAATTAGCCACTTTCTATTAATCTAGCAAGGATAGAAAGCCTGTTACTATTATTCGCCTTTAAATTACTTAAAAGCCTATAGCTAATTTTGTTATCTATATAGGCAAGGACTGCATTATACTTACTAATTCTGTAGGCCAAGTTACTCTTTAAATAAATTATTCTAGCAAGACAGACTTTCTATTTATATCTCGCTATCCTAAGATACTAGATAAAGTTGTTTTAGCCACCTAGAACGTAGTCATGTTCTCTAATTAGGATGCTAAGCCTTATCAGATTAAGCGTAGCACAATACTCAGCACAGCAGAATTAATTCGCATAAGGAATTTCGCGTATATAACACAAATAATAGAGGTACTTAATAGCTTCTTAGCCTAAGAGTTGTGAAACTATACAGGTAGTTTAGAGACCTTTATAAAGAAGACTAAGAACATTATTACTGCCTAGCTATAAGAAACATACTATCTAGAGTATTAATATAAGCTTCTTAAGGGTATAGTAGTCTCTGACTCCTTTACTTCTACTTATTAAGAGGTATATTAATAAAAGGCTGCCCTTAGACTAATAAAAGCAGCTCTAACAACTAGCAAAGTATTTTGTAATCATTTTTAATAATATGCCTAATATAGCGCACTAATCAGAGGAAGAATAACTATAAATTAAGGTTGCTTCTGAATTAGAGTATTATCTTTTAAGCCTTAACCTCCTTATTATAATGCTCTGTGTATAAAATAAGCTATTAATAATATATTTAATAAAAATATTAAGCTAGAGTAAATAGCGCTAGTAAAGTATTTACTTTATTCCTTACCAGTATTTATAGTATACAAGTATACCCTAGAAGGAGCAGTCAAAAAGGCTAGACCTGTAATAGATTTATAATCTCTTAATAATATTATAGAGTTAGATATATATCTGTTGCCTCTTTAGAAGGATATCCTTACTGTAATAGCTTTAGCCACTTACATCTCCTTTATTAACTTTGTATCTAGCTTTTACTAACATTTTACATACCTTAATAATTAATACTAAACTACTATAACGTTATATTAAGGCTTAGAGCTATTTTATATAATACTAATAGGTTTCAAGAATTCTCTAGCATATAATTAACGAATGTTCAAATGTCTGCTTATTAGATTACTATAGAAGATTATTAATATTTATGTTAATAATGTTAATATCTTTATAAGAGGGCTATTTAGTTAGCATCTATAGGATCTAGATGCTGTATTTTGATAATTTGCTAATGCTAATTATACTTTTAAAGCTATAAAGACCTATCTCAGCTTCTAAGAGCTTGTAGCACTTAAAAAACTTGTTAGCCGACTTAAATATTTAACTACAAAGGAGAAGCTCGCGGCTATAGCTAAGTGGGATATCCCTAGGAATAGCTAAGACCTTAAACGCTTTATAGGCTTTATAGGCTAGCACTGTTAGTAAGTCTCTTATTTTACATAATGCTTTAAGACTCTTTAATAGCTCAAAACAATTATCTTTTAAGGCCTTTAAAGAGAGAAGAGATCTTTACTAGAGAAGCTACAGAAGAGAAAGAGCTATAGAACAAAGGAATTTAGAGAGCTTTAGAAGAACAACTATACTATTATATTTAAAGATCTTAAAAGCATATTTACTAAGGTAGTAAAGATTCTATGCTATTTTGATCCTGTAAAAGTATTATATATATTTCTTAACGCTTTAAAAGAGCTTAGTTTTAGTGTTACTATATATTAACTTAAAGACACAGAAGCTAAAGACTCTCTTAAGCTTTCTAGAACAATACTAAGGCTTATTATCTTCCTTTTAAAGTGCTTAACGCTTACTAAATGCAATTATTAACTAACAGATCTAGAGCTATCTAGACTTGTTTAGGCAGTTAAGCACTTACAAATCTATATTAAATAAATAAAGACTATTATCTATACTAACTATTAAGTAAACCCTATTATCCTAGTAGCAAGATTACTATATATATAATTTCTCTTTAAGATAAATACTTACTAGCAAAGATAAGCTGTCTTTCTAAGTTAGTATTAGAATAATATAATCGTTATTTATAAGAAAGGCTAAGATATAATTATGCTAGATGCCCTATCTAGACTCTCTATTATATTGCATAGCTAGCACTAACCTAAAGAAGAAAAGCAAGCCTTTCTTAATATAGTTCTACTAGGGCTAGAAGATACAGAACTTGCTTGACTTTGTAAAGAAGTTAAAGAGGAGTTTAGCGAGATATTTGAGCAGCTTTAGGCTATAACCTTATCTGTTCTAAATCTCTAGTAACTACTTGATAGGCCTTACACTCTATTTCATTAAGAAAATAGCTCTAACTTAGTCTGAATCAATGCTTAATAGACTGAGCTGCGTTTTGTTATCTCTTAAAGTTACAGGAAGGCCATGCTAGAGGCTACACATGATAATCAGCTATATAGCGGCTACACAAGGCTGCGTGAAGCACTAGCTAGTCTATAGTAGCCTAAAATAAGCAAGAAGATTCTAGAGTACGTACATTACTATATAGGCTACAGAATAAATAAGCTATATCGCGTAGGCTTTATGCCGCTATTAAAGCTACTTCTAGCGCCTCCTTGACCTTTTTACTCCCTAATAATGGATTTCATTACTGATTTGCCCCCTGAAGATAAGCATAACATAATACTTGTTATTATTAATTAATTCTTAAAGTAAGTAGCTTTCAAAATAGGGAAGAAAGCGCAAACAGCTAAGGAATAGGTTAAGTGCCTCTAGAATAACATTTTCTGCAGAAGAGGCTATAGCTTACCTAATACTATTACTACTAATTAAGACGCTTAATTCACAGCTATATTATAGAAGAGAGTATTTAAATTAACTAGCACCTAACTAATCTATATTATAGCATACTATTCTTTAGTAAATAACTAATTAAAACGCGTTAATTAAGAGCTAAAAATAATGCTGTATTTTTATATTAATACTACTTAAACTAATTAGAAGGAATTCATGCTTATAATTAAGTTCTATTTTAATAGCAACTATTTGTCTATTATTACCTAGACTCTGTTTTAGGTTATCTATAGTTTTACTCCTAGCACTTAGCTAACGCTATTAGCTCTAAAAGCGCTAGAGCAGTTAATATAAGAACGTGAGGCTGCTAGAGATATAGCTGTAAAAGGTCTCTAAATCACAGCAGAAGTAATGATTAATAAAGCAGCCTAAGATTAATCTTTCGACTCTAGCTGGGCTAGGCTGCGCCTTTCGCTAAAGAGCTACTTGTTGCCCTCTACGTGCAAATTCACACTCTCCTCACAATACACAAGAGCTTTTCGTATACTCGAGGCAGTTGGCAAGGGTAATGCGCTGCGAATAGACCTGCCTGCGGTGTGGAAAATCCACCAAGTGATTAGCAAGATCTATCTTGACCCTGCTCCGAGCCCTGACGATGACCCCTATCAACGAAACCTCCCCCCTGCGCCTGATCACATCGACAAACAAGGAATGGAGCAGTGGAAGGTAGAGAAGATAGTTGGCAAGCTCGTCGACGACGAGGCGATATCATACAAGGTCAGATGGGAAGGATATGAAGTTGAAGATGACACTTGGGAGGATCTAACGGCGCTAGAGCAGGCCCAGGAGTCAGTTAGTGCGTACGAAGAGGCTCTAGAGCGCTCTAGGCTCCGAGGGCGTCGACAAGCTGACGGCTCGACGCTCTATGGAGAGCCACAAGGGCGGCTGCGGCGCTAGACCAAAAGCGGAAGGAGTTTCAGCCCTGAGAGATGCTGTCTTTTCTGCTTATTTCTGTTCTTTTCTATGACCACGAGGCCGTGGCCTTTTTCTGCTGCCGGCAACTATTACGACATAACCTGCGCAATGGCCCAGAGGGGTATTAGGGCTGAGGGCTAGGGCAGGCTTGGCGCTCTGAGCGTCATACCTCGCTTTTCGCCTCCATAGCACTTAGATAGTTCAGCCTTCACCATACTAATCGACATAGTCATACAGTTGCCTTCTATAGCTTCTTCGTGACTCTCCGCTATCTCTATAGCACCCTCATACCCTGTTGCACGGCTTTCCGCGTAACAATGGGTGAGACATAATAACTGCTGATTATAGTGTGCTTATTAATGTAGATAATAAGTTGATAATAGGAGATAAGTAAGATGTGATGACTGTTGACTATAGTGTGCTTATTAATATAGATAGTAAGTTGAATTATCAGAGATAAGCGAGATGTGATGACTACTAATTATGATATGCTTGTTAGTGTAAGAGATAAGTTGATCTATTAGAGTAGGCGAGATGCAATAACTGCTGACTGTAGTGTGCTTATTAATATAGCAGGTAAGTTAATCTATTAGAGATGGGTGAGACGTAATAACCGTTGACTGTGGTGTGCTTGTTGGTGTAGCAGATAAGTTAATTATCAGAGATGAGCGAGACGTGATAACTGCTGACTGTAGTGTGCTTGTTATTGTAATTGATAAGTTGATCTATTAGAGATGGGTAAGACGTGATAACTGCTGATAGTAGTGTGCTTATTAGTGTAGGAGGTAAGTAAATCTTTAGAGATAAGTAAGATACGATGACTACTGACTGTGGTGTGCTTATTATTATAAGAGGTAAGTTAATCTATTAGAGATAGGTGAGATGTGATGACTGCTAACTGTAGTGTGCTTGTTGGTGTAGATAGTAAGTTGATCTATTAGAGATAGGCGAGATATGATGACTGCTGACTGTGGTGTGCTTGTTAGTATAGAGGGTAAGTTAATCTATTAAAAATAGGTAAGACGTAATGACTGCTGACTATGATGTGCTTGTTAGTGTAGAGGGTAAGTTGATCTATTAGAATTGGGTAAGACGTGATGACTGCTGACTGTGGTGTACGTTAGTGTAGGAGGTAAGTTAATCTATTAGAGATAGGTAAGACGTGATGACTGCTAACTGTGGTGTGCTTATTAGGGTAGCTAGTAAGTTGATTAATCAGAGATAGGTAAGACGTGATAACTACTGACTGTGGTGTGCTTGTTAGTGTAGAGGGTAAGTTAATCTATTAAAGATAGGTGAGACATGATAACTGCTGACTGTGGTGTGCTTGTTGGTGCAGCTGGTAAGTTGATTATCAGAGATAAGCGAGATATAATGACTGCTAACTGTAGTGTGCTTGTTAGTATAGAGGATAAGTTAATCTATTAGAGATAGGTGAGACGCAATGACTGCTGACTATGGTGTGCTTATTAGTGTAGCTAGTAAGTTAATCTATCAGAGATAGGTAAGATATAATGACTACTGACTGTAGTGTGCTTGTTAGTGTAAAGGGTAAGTTGATCTATCAGAGATGGGTGAGACGTGATGACTGCTGACTGTAGTGTGCTTGTTGGTGTAGGAGGTAAGTTGATCTATCAGAGATGGGTGAGACGTGATGACTGCTGACTGTAGTGTGCTTGTTGGTGTAGGAGGTAAGTTGATCTATCAGAGATAGGTGAGACGCAATGACTGCTGACTATGGTGTGCTTGTTAGTGTAGTTTGTACGTTGATTATCGGAGATAGGCGAGATATGATGACTGCTGACTGTGGTTTACTTGTTGGTATAAGAAGTAAGTTGATTTATCAGAGATGGGTAAGACGTGATGACTGCTGACTGTGGTGTGCTTGTTGGTGTAAGAGGTAAGTTGATCTATCAGAGATGGGTGAGACATAATGACTGCTGACCGTGGTGTGCTTGTTATTATAAGAGGTAAGTTGATCTATCAGAGATGTAATGACTGCTAACTGTGGTGTGCTTATTGGTGTAGGCGGTAAGTTGATCTATCAGAGATGGGTGAGATGTTTTGACTACTGACCGTAGTGTGCTTGTTAGTATAGAGGGTAAGTTGATCTATCAGAGATGGGTGAAACGTGATGATTACTGATTGTAGTGTGCTTATTAGTATAGCTGGTAAGTTGATCATCAGAGATAGGCGAGATACGATGACTGCTGACCGTAGTGTGCTTGTTAATGTAGGAGGTAAGTTAATCTATCTAGATCATACTTTCTTTAGGTGTTACATTCGCTTAGGTTTTTACTTAAGTATCGTGGAAGTGTCGTATTAACAATCTCTTTGCCACGGAATTTTTTAGTAAACAGCCCCTTAAATCCACCTTCTGTCAGTGATCCTACTGGATTAGACTCTGTGTACATCTAATTGCTTAAATAGACTGCTTACCTTAAGGACTAATAAGGAAGAAAGGTCTTTCGACGGGATTATGTTTAGACTGCACACAACTGCTCTCTTTTGACCACTCTGTTACTATCTCAGAATTACACACTCCAGTAAAAGATTATGCTCTTTACGAGCTACTCTATCACGTGGTCCTTCGCCATCATAATAAGGGTCAGAAGCGGATTAATATATTCAGGAATAGTTTAGCACTAAAAATTGCCGAAGGTAATCTATATATTCTTCGCTTATTTGTTGATTTAGGTTCGTCTACCCTTCTTTAGCAATATAGATATTACTTACTAGTTTATATTGATAAAAGGACTGTTAATAAATAGCTAGAATAATATTAAAACCGAACCTTCTATTATATAAATAATTAATTATTCCCTTACTAGTAATGCTTTATACTTTTAATTATTACGTAAATAGCTTTAAGAATGCGACTAAAATCATATATATAGCAAGCGAAAACCATACTAGCTAATAAAGATTATCTTTATTAGAGGTCTTAGTATTAAGATATTAAAACTTCTGAAGCAACCTTATAGACTAGAGCAAAATAATAGACCTGACTATATTACACTCTTATATTACTAGGGTACTCTAACTAATAAGAAGAAGAAGCAGTTCTGTATAATTAAGGATAACTATCCTCTTTAATTAGAAGAATTTAGCTTTAATAATATTCCGAAGACATTTCAAGATACTATTAAGATAACTTAACAACTTAGCAAAGAATACCTCTGGATTAATTCTATATACATTATTCAAAATAACTTAGAGGATTAAGAAAAAGAAGCTAGGCTTATAAAAGACATCTTTGCCTTTGCTTACTGCATTATTACTACAAGTAAGGCAACTAGTTATAAAGTTGGATTCCTGAAGAGGAATCTAAGGTCTCAGTATATTTAGATCTAAGATATGAAAGACAGATAGTTTAATATTTGCAACTTTGACAAAAATATAGATGAAGGGCTATTTAATAAGAGAGCTTAGGTACTACAAAAACAAGTATTATCTTACTAAACTATTTATATATCTGCGAAACAGACGTATTAAGAGTATAAGGAAGATATACATTATAATAACTTTATATAACTAGAATAATAAGACTATAGCTAAGTGTTATTATATAGTAATATATTTTAATATTATAATTTATATACTTTAGCCTACTAGGGAAGTAATATTTCGTTATTAATCCTAATTTTCCTTAATAGCTTACAGTATTAAGGTATTATTAAATAATTAAATTTATCTAATTCTTTTTTAAGAAGTATTCAAAATATAGTTTTTTCTATAAATTAGATAAGAGTACTACGATCTCTAGCTTAGTCAAGCGTATAAAGGGTGCCTTATAGACAGAAGGAAGATATAGAGTCTTTAGTTGCTTCCTTAGTAGACTCCTTTTGTAGAAGCAGCCTAACGAGAAGAGGATAGCTCTGATTATTTATCCAGGTGGAAAAGAGCTACCATCCTAGTCCTGGATAGCATATTACAGAGGAATCGATTTTGTATTAACTTCACACCTCAGGGTTCCAAACTCCGAAGATCTTCGATTTGCTACCAATTAGGAAGCAATAATCGTCAGGATTAGGCAATTCAAAAATTGCTGACTAGAACAACAAGAGAAAGAGCATGGCATTTTCGCTGATCAAGGAAGAGTGGGGTCTCTATAGTTTGATCTGGCAACTAATATTAAGTCCAAGTCCATACATTGTGTTATTGTTAGGATGCGTAACAACGCGAAAGAAAATCCCCAGAAGACTTACTACATATTGGCTGTCTAAGGAAACCAACAAAAGAATGGGTATGAAAGACTTGGAGTTAGGAAAGTCGAAGCACTATATGTATCGATGGAGAGTAATACCGGGAAGCTCGTATGAATTTGCGGCAGTTTATGAGTTGATATCTTCTTACAAGATGTAGAAGAGGAGATTAGAGAGCAGATTCCGTTCAATTCATGAGCCAAGTATCGTATCGTGCCCCGTCATATCCAATTTCTTCAATTTCTCCTATTCAAAATTCGATCTTACTAAAAGATCTTCCTCCGTTTGACAGTAGCTTAATGGGCAAAGTCCTATCTCGGTCTGGTGCAGAGTATGCTGGCTTGTTCCGGATGAACTTAGCAACTGCGCTTGGCTACAGTACTAACGCAAAAGTTTCTACCCACTTCCAATTTTTACACCAAAAATAGTAGTTTTCAATACTCTATAACTGCTTTTGCTAGGCGTCAACGATATTTAATACTCTATAAATATACGAAGAATTATTAGATCTCGATTTATCTAATAGAAGTCTTTCCTTTAAAGTCTTCAGAAATATAAATGGTGGAGGTTGAAGCTGACTTAGAAGTTAGCTGAGCAATCTGAAATTTTATCAACATTTATGTGGTCGCTCATACAAAATAATTCTCTAAAAAATCAAGTTTTGACTCAAGTCACCATAAAAAGATATCGGTAGTATTTGATATAAAAACTTCTATTTATCAAAGATAGATCTACTAATTTTGACTAATCTTATCAAAACTAACATATACGTTGACGCCTAGGAAAAGTCTCAGTTGTGAATTAAAAATCTTATATTTTTGGTGGGGTTTCGCCGATTTTGGTGGGGTTTGGAATGTGCGGATATAGATGTAGAGTCTGGAACCTCGAGAAAGGCTACATCGTAATAAAGATGGAGGAATACGCTGATATTAATGTGATAGTTCTTTCGTCAAAATTGGACCAAGGGACTTTTCTTGCTGTCAATGTCCTCAATCTCCAATCAATTTTGTCGACAATGTACAAATATGATATATTGAACTAGAATAGTGTCTACTTGAAGACGCAACTGACTGTGGTAAATTATTCGTGAACTTTTAAAGAAATTCCATAGCATAGCAGGGTACTTCTGGAAGACCAGGTTTAATACCTCTTACGCGTCTTGTTTTGTTCTGAAGTCACGGGTGCTCACAAAATCGCTCTGTTATCCATCATTAGATAGCTAAGCGAAGCGATCACTGGAACCCCATCACCATCCAACTCACCAGAAGTCTCAGACTTCGAAGTTGATGGAACTGATCCAATATTCTGAATGCTCCAACCTGGCTCTTTCACAGCTTCTTCGGCCCAAAGTGTCATTCTCTCAATGTCATTGGCTCTTTCACAGCTTCTTCGGCCCAAAGTGTCATTCTCTCAATGTCATTATGCACCTCGTACGGCTTGGGCCTCTTCGAAGGGTCCATTCTGAGCATTTTACTAGTCGTCAACACCAGTTCCTTGAAAACCGCTCTGCCTTTGTCGGAGTTGCATTGCTCCTCAAGTTCCTGAAGCCTTTTTCTGACGTAAGGTTTCCAGTGGGTGGTGTAATATCCGCTATCATGTTCGATGTACCAGAACATGGTGTCGTTGCTCGTTTGGCCTCCTTTGATTAGTCATCTTTGCTTGGAAAAAGTCTCTAGCTCGGAAGGAAGCGAACCGAATGTCCAAACAAGAAAATCCAAAAAAATGCATCTAAGCGTCTACACGTTGTAAGGGTGTGAGGTCTCACTACGAATGATATAATCTGGTGCCTCATAAGCCGAAGTTCCTTGGGAGTAATGATCTGTAGGAGAACTCTCGTCTTGTGGAGCTGAACGTTGAGCACGGATTTTTGCTGACCTAAAGTCTGCTATTTTTAGAGTTGGCCCGCCACTGTCGCCTTCGTTGAAAACTAAGATGTTCTCGCCTTTAAGGTTGTGGTGCTATCCATTAAAATTATATATAAAGCGCAGACTATTAGCTAAACCCTAAAGCTGCCTTAACTCTTATAATATAAAGTTAGGGTTACTTAATTAAGGTTGCTCCTGCTTCTAATATCCCTTCAGGTTATAAGAAGCCAGAGGAAACAGCATAAAGAAATGTCTTCCCTAATACTAAGACGTATAATAAAGAGTAATATATTTATACAGCATATTAACTAATTTTTAAAGGACTTTTGACTCTTGCTTAAAATCTTTAAATATATAACTGTTTCTGAATTTCTTTAAAGCAAAAACGCTTGTTTTATCTTGTGATTACAAGTTAGTTTAATTATATTTATATCTTAGGAGTTAAGCAGAATTATATAGCTATAAAGCGATAATGTTCTAGCTAAATCTGAATCTTATATATAATTTTGAACACGCCTAATTTGATTAGTTTTATTTTATTACAGCCTTTAATAGGAAGTATATCATTATCTGTGAGGTTAACACAGTAGACTTTAGCATCTGTTGGTTTTGGAAAACGGTAGGCGATGAAAAACCATTATTTGAATATCAGGTTTTCAAACTTGATCTTTTCAGCTGCAGGCGGTTTGTCAGAGGTTCCTAGTGGAAATTGAACAGGCTTTGGCCTAAGATAGAGCATCTGCCACAAGCAGATCAGAGGAAGATCTTCATGTACACAAAGTGCAAGTAAGTGTTTGTGTGAGCTTGCAACATCGTGGATAAATTTCTTCTTGTTCATGACCGGGCTGTCCACATGACCAACATGTTCTGTATTTGTCAAAGACTCGTCGTTGTTGATCAGGTGTTCAATAACAGACTGTGACATGATAGCATAAAGATCTTTCTGTGGTATGAATTTCCTCCTGCGCTAGTTGGTTTTCATTCTAGAGTCGATCAAGTCTGCAATTTCTGTGCTGTACCTCTTTTTCTCAATGCCGGGACGGTCCACTGCAGCATACGTCTAAGTTATCTCAAGATGGAATTTTGTATATTCGTTCCCCGGTATGGTCACGAATTCTGCAATGATGAGATGCAAGACCTCGGACCACTGATCCTCAATTTCAAGTGCTTTGGAGGAACATTCTTGGTCCTTTCTAAAAAGCTTGCAGACACCGTCTGTGCGCCAGACATTTTTGTTGATCGTTTCAGGAGACGCGTTCAAGCAATTCTGCGCAGCATTATTGACTGTCCCATAGGAAGCATCATCCTGCCAATCAAGTTTTTCGAAAGAGGTTCTTTCTGAGAGGAGTTTGCCGTCAAGAATCACTTTCAGGTAGCAAAGTATTTCTTTTGGGATGACTCTGTCTCCATCTCCGTCTTGCTCATAGTACTTTCTTCCGGCGGACCTATATGAAGTTCGGTGCTCTAAATCCGCACGTCGGTCTAGAGAAAGGAGGTCTATGTCAGTGTGAGCCCCCTTGGCTCTCGAAGAATCTCGAGCTGCTGTCACAGGGGTGGTATCTCCATGCTTTTCAGAAGCAATAACCTGTCTCAGGTGTGACCGATATGCGACGCTGTAGATTCTCGAGCTCAATATTTCTGCATCAAACTGAAAGGATATGTCCAAATCTGCAGGAGACACCGAGGCTTTGCTCTGCCAACTCGTAATTGAACTGCTGTCTGCGAGACAGAAGATTGAGGATGTCTCATCTTCCATGACCTCTATAATACTCTGAGCTTCTGCGCTATTTAGGGTGCCTTGTTGTTCTAGCAAAGAACGGCTATCAAGTATTAGAAAGCACAAAGCTAAATAGGGAGAGGGAAACCTTTGCAAGACGTTAAGTAAGAGGTTAAGGGCATTTACATAACTGCTGATGCTATTAATGTACTTATTGAACTTTACATCCTTTAGAATCATGGTGATTTTATTGATCATGCTTATTTCATCTTAAGAATCTGATCTTAATCCTTTAATCTTTAATTTAAGGAATAAGAGGGAGAGTTTAGTGTACTTAAGCGTAGTATTTAGAGAATCTACTAGTTTTTTGTACTTGGTATATTTAGATAGTGTCTTAATAATCTTGATTATTTTAAAGATAACAGTATTTATACTTGCTAGATAACTAATAAGTAAAGTAATCTTAACATCAGCATATTTAAGTTTCGTAGACAGTTGCAAAATAAAATTTAGAGTCTTTCTGAGGCGGTTGACAAGTGTAAAGGCTAAAGCTGTAATGCCAATTATTAAGACTGGTTCCATGATGCACAGCAGTGGAAACACTAAGTACACTTAGTTGCACATGAAAACATTCAGGGGCAGTACTTCGTATTGCGATAGAAAAAATGCAATTGAGAGAACATCATGATGCATCGCACTTGGGCGAGTTTCATGTCAGTCCACCGGTATGAGCCTTGCGGAAAGCCTAGTTATGGAGGACAGAGTACGTAGACAGCAACCTTGGCTGAGACACATCGAAGGGCATTCATACGAGAGTGATAGGCGCCGGGAATTGACACCTAACAACCTGAGGGGTGTGGGGAGAGTGGCCGGAGCTAGGTGACGGAAATAGTGGGACTTCCGTCCCACACCACTCTACTACGGTAGGAGGCATATTAAATGTAAGCGCGCCCTAGTAACAGCTTGTAAAACGCCAAGATAGAACGCCACAAAATCGCTCAATTAGGACTAGTCTATTCTATTTAGTATCGAGTGTGCAATCCACTGGCATCAATGACTGCCTGGCATCTAGCTGGCATTGATTCAAGCAGCTCTAGAAGATAGCTTGCTGGTACAGCGTTCCATGCAGCAATTATAGCCTCTCGTAGCTCATCGTACCCTCGAAGACGATCATCATAGTGCTCTTGAATCCAATCCTTCATCCAATTCCAAACTGCCTCAATTGGATTCAAATCAGGAGAATATGAGGGCCAATTGATACAGATAATGCCTCTTTCTTCAAGATCTCGAATAGTGCCTCTTGCTGCATGAGCAGGAGCAGAATCTTGCATAAAAATCAATTGTTCCTCCTCTTGTCTTTTGAGTTGAATCCAACCATCAATTATAGGGAGAATCTTTGCTCGATAGCTCTCTTCTTTAATAGTACCCCAATCTTTCTCCCAAAAGAGGCCAGGACCCTTTGTATCTCCATGAAGACAACCCCAAAACATCCATCCTTTATGACGTTGAAAACGTTCAATAATGCAAGTAGGGTCCCATTCCTCGCCAGCACGCCGTGTTACATAGGTCTTTGTATGACGATCCCCATTAACCCATGTTTCGTCACTCCATAAGACCTTCTTCCAATCATCAAGGGTCCAATTGAGATGTTCAATTGCCCATTGAAGTCGAGCAAGTCGGTTTCGTTCGGAAATAGGAGGCTTTCGACGTGCTACACGGCGAGAGTAGCCTGCTTTTCGTAGGGCTGTTCGAAGACAATAGTAACTGACGTTAAGTTCAAGAGTAATTGGAAGTTTGATCCAGGGCATACGTCGATTAGTCTTTGAAGTACAGATCCATGTAATAATCTCATTGATCTCCTCCTGCGTAAGAATAGAAGGCCTGCCTAAGCGCTTTTTCGGAGTAACTTGATGACTTAGAGCATATTGAATTTGACGAATAGTAAACCCAAGTTGTTCGCGAATTTGAGCGTATTTAAGACCAGCGTCATATAGCGTTTGAATCTGCAAACGTTGATCTCGAGTTGTACAAACTGCAGAGGCAGTAGGAGGAGGAGTAGAAGAAGGAGGAGGAGGAGGAGGAGGAGGAGGAGGAGGGGGTGTATGAGGCCTATTCGTATTAACAGAATCCATTGATTTAGAGGAATTTTCGAGAGATTTTCATGTTTATAGAATTAGGAGTAGAATTTGCTGAATTATAGCATTAATTACCCCACAGAAACAAGTCAGAATTTTGCAAATCGTACAAATTCGTAATAGAAGAAGATAGAAACAGTAGAAGAAGATAGAAACAGTAGAAGGAGATAGAAACAGAAGGGGATAGAAACAGTAGAACGCGTTGAACGCGTTGAACGCCCTCGTACAAGCGTGGCAAGGGTAGCTGTATGAGAGTTGTTAATAACAATTTTACTAGGGCCACGCTTACATTTAATATGCCTCCTACCGTAGTAGGGTACTTCCCCACTCAACGCTCCCCCCCACTCAACGCTCCCCCCACTCAACGCCGCATTTTTGCCCATTGCCAACGACAACTTCAAACCCCAATTGACAGCCCAATAATGGCTCAAATGGAGGCTGCTATAGCTCATTTGAATCGCCAGAGCTCGCTCAATTACACAGAGGTAGCAAAGACCCATGGAATCGCTCCAACGACGCTGGCGCGCCGCCACCAAGGCCTTTCCGTCTCTCGAGCGGAGGCAACTTCCACCTACCACCAACGCCTGAATAATGTACAAGAAGATACTCTGTTGGGCTATATTGACGCTCTAACCGATCGAAATATCCCCCGACATCGCAGATCATCAAGAACCTTGCAGAGGAGATAATCAAGAGGCCCATAGGAAAGAACTGGACAGCTAGGTTTATCAAGCGCCATTCCACTCGCATTTGCAGTCATTATTTACATCCTCTTGATCGCGAACGTGCTTCTGCTGAGTCTATTACTGTATTTGAACGATTCTACAATCTTGTATAGCATTTTTTGCGTTTATATTGATGTCTTTCTACTAACTTTGGATAGTTGACTAAGGCAATTGAGAAGTACAATATTACAGCCGAAAACATCTACAATTGGGATGAAAAGGGGCTTCTTATTGGCCAGTCGAGCATCAAAAAGAGGATATTAACAAAAGAGGCTTATGAACGGGGCAGAATCTGCTATTCTCAAGAAGATGGGAACCGCGAATTCATCTCCTTACTCGCTTGCGTCTGCGCCGATGGAACTGCCCTACCTCCTGCTTTAATCTATCAAGGCGCTTCCAATGACCTTCAAAGCAGTTGGATGGAAGATCTACATGAGAGCGACAAGGCCTATTTCACCTCTTCTGCAAATGGATGGACTTGTGATGCTCTTGGGCTGGCGTGGTTGCGACTTTTTGACAAGAATACCCGCTCAAAAGGCAGTCGTCGACGGCTATTGATTGTCGACGGACATTCAAGTCATATCAACTGGTCTTTTATCAAGCTGGCAGACTCTCTCCGAATTCTCATCTTCATTCTACCACCACATACAACCCATCGCCTTCAACCACTCGATGTTGGTCTATTCAGTCCTTTGGCGCAGGCCTATACACAAAGATTAGACGCTGCACCCAACAACTTGGCCTATCTGTGAAGCCGTCAGTGTGCTAGCGATGAGCATGTCATGGCTTTGCGCATGCTGCCACGGAGCAAGGTTGGGGTCATTGGTAAGCGAACGCTTTAATTTTGCCGTTACGCGTCGCTACAACATTTGGTTGGCAATCTACGGTAAGTCGCATAATTAAGTTCCTGCCACTAAAATGGCGGCTTTCAAAGTCCATATTGAAATCAGAGACTTACTGTCCCCGAACCTTTTCACTGAGCATCATCTGCTGGAATTGACCCAAAATTAAAAATAAATTGATCAAGTATACCCCTATTTTTAGAGGGATGGTTGCTATTTCTGGATGTAGCTATTTCAGGACTGGCGTCAAAAGAGAAAGAGGTGAGCGTTTGCATCAGATGATGCTTCAAACGCCAAGATTTGGTAGAAAGCTAATCATTGGACGATGAGAGACTAGACCTTTTTCAGAATAAGCGTTAGATTAAAGTCACCATATCCCAGTCGTCTTCATCCACAACACTTTCTTCAAGGGCCTTTTCTGTCTTGTTAATTTTATGCAAGACACCAGTATCGTATGATGTGTCGCGCGAGTCGACTTTGAGACGATGGTCATGTCGAACTCTCAAAGCTGTGTCGCAGTCTGATTGAGCGGAGGGAGCCACAGACGAAGCGGTGGAGGTGTGTTTCCCCTTGGGTTCACTTGTGTCGTTCCCATTCCCATCCCTCTGTTCCTTCCTTTTAACACCACTGCCATCCATCTCATTCCAGCCCTTAATCCGCTGCCCATGTTGGAAATGCTCCGCAATATGATCGAATCTCTCATTCGCTCCCTCCAACGCCTTCTTTTCCAGTACCACAATCTCTTCACAAAACCCGCACCAGAACCTGCTCTGGCAGTCCCAACCTCCTCCGCTCCTTGACTTCCAGGTCGACCGTATCGTCATCTACTCTGGACCATGTATCGATTAGATACTTGCGATCAGGACTCCATGTCCAGGTGTGTGTCCCGTCGCCACTGGTCAGCAGCGTAAAGTCAGAACCGTCAAAATTGACCCTCGCAAGCTGCGCGTAGTACGGATCTTGGCCCTCTACTGCGCCAAACGCTTTGAGCCATATCTGTCTCTTTTCCTCATCAACCGACTCCACTGAACGCACGTTCCATTCTCCTCGCGTAATCTGATTCTTATATTCGCTGTCTGCAAGTCAAATAGGTAGAGCTGATTCCAACCATCTCGTTCACTAGCCCAGATATCATTTCATTGGAATCCCTGATTTCATGATAGTATTCCTTCTGCGAGTAATCGACGAATGTTGTGCTACTCTCTTCGATTACGCTTCGTACTTGGCCCAGCGTGTTCAGCCCAACGATTCGAAGGATCTGGTGAGCTCGTTGGTTGTATAAGAAGCGGATTCTTGGCCATCGGCGCTCCATCCCATGTCGTGAATGCTGTATGGATTCTGAAAGAGCGCATCATCAGTTGTCACTTCCTTCTTCTCGGTCAAATCAAACATCCTCGGCCGATCCACTCGGGCGCATTGCCATTGAGATTCTTACTTTGCCCATTGGAGAGAGGAGGTGAAGGTTTGGAAGTGGACTGAGCGGGTTGAGATCTGTGTTTCGAAGTGGTATTCGGGCCATGCTTGATGGTTTGCGAGTGCACTTTCTGCTTCTGTGCCGTAAGAGGCTTCAAGCCTTTGCCGACCATGCCATCAAAAGGACCCATGCCAACAAGGCGACGCTGGAAGTCGTTGACGCAGTATTGTACCGAAATGGTCTTCGGTGGATGGAGAATCTGGTGCAGCTGAGTCAAATGGATGGCACAAACGCATCAAAAATAAGGAATGTCACAAGTTTGGTGAAGCAAACGCAGAACACTGGGAATCAAAAATTGTGAAGACTGTGGTCCGGGGGGTCAGGTGGCCGTGTTTGCACCCCTGCAAGATTGACTTTTGGCGTGCATGGCTTGGCATAGAGCCTCAGCCCTACTTCCAGGGATCAGGATACGTAGAGGCTTTGAAAATGAAATGCAGCTATCCTGGTCTTTTGTCATACCAAGGATCGTCATAGAGCATCAGATGACCATAACTTGAGCGTCACATGGCAATAATCCTGGGAAAAGACGTCGAAAATGATACATTTTCGTTGGATTTTCTGGTATCTGATTAGTGCTCGGTAGTCGCTTGGATTACTTGGCATTAAAATCATGATTCCCAGCCGCAAAACTGGCAAAACTCGATACCTTGCAGTCTGGATGACTCAACATCCGTCTGATACGTTGCCTTGGGCCAGACTCGGATAGAGCAGCGCCATGCCATGCGTGCCTGAATTGGTATGTGCATGTGCATGTGCATATGGTGCCATGTCAGGGAGGTGTTTATTGAGAGAGAGAGGGAAGATACGGTACTCACAGTCGGTCGTTTGAGACGCCCTCTGCGATGTACAGCCACAGTATTGTAAAATTTCCAGCACTGCCATTTCCCCTCCAATCACATCGAAGACCCACCTGTTATTTAAAAGCATCACTCACATCATACTTAGATCTCATATCATCAGATTCTCCTTTTTCTTCCTAAGTATAACTGTTAGAAATCTGTGTGATTTGTTCTGACCACGACCGCTCTGCCGCTGAGCCAAAGGTCGAGCAACACCAGTGCTAGTCAATCACTAGTGGTCTACTCAAGGGACATGTCCTTGATATGATTACAACGTAGAGTACTGGCACCCGAAGGTAACCAGTCAGGGAGTTACAAAGGTACAGACACTGGTTGAATTTTGGATGGGGTTTGGGTACCACAGAAATTTTCGGGCTTCGTGAAAATTCTGAAAAGTGACTTTGCATTCATTCGTTAGTATTAGAGCATGAAGTATGGTAAGTTAGAACCCAGTTTCGCATAGATCCTACCCAAATTCTGCCCACATTTCACTACCGCCCAACGCCTATTTTGGAGAACTGCCATCCGTAGTCCGTTTGGGTCAGCCGCACCGGAGTGTGGTCTGCAATCCGTGCCATTTCGTTCGCCTGGGTGATGGACGCATATTCACCATTACCCATCGATTGTCGATCCAGTCCGTGAAAAAGCAAGGCCAGCGGGGAAGACTTCCAGTCGTGTCTGCTGATTTCTCGGCGGCGAGTCTCAAAGACCATGACCGCGAAGAAGATGATGGCCAACAGAACCAGTACGGCCGGGTATAGGAGGAAGAGCCACCGAATATGGACGCAGGTCTGGGTCTGGAAGACCTCGCCCCGTGCTGGTGCACTCAAAGACATTTTGTGGCACGGCTCTGTACGCTGCGCCCGAGATTTGGCCTGGACGGAGTAAGAGTTACGGAGTATCAGTGGACATATGGTCATTGGCCATCTGTATTCTGAATCTCTTCTACAACCTTGTATGGCCTTCTGATCTATTACCTCATCTTTTTGAGAAGGGCAAACTGAAAGCCTGGAACCGGAAGTGGTGCAAAGCTGTTTTCAAACAGCTTGATAACCTAGACGAGAATAACGACCAGATCATGGACATTCTTAATCTAGAGCAATCAGCCTCGTTCTCGAAGCATTCGACCACTGGGATGACAGAGTACTCACCTGCCGACCATTTGAGCTCCTGGCAGCCAGCTGGTCAAGTTCTTTGTTGTTTACTTTTGCTGGTCCATATTTGGCAGGGGCCCTTGCCAAGAAGCTCTTCCAAATTTGAATCTTGGAATCTTTACACAGAGCCTCATACCTCAACATCAGGTGGATTCTGCCAATGATGGCATCATCAAAATTAGACACTCAGTTCGTTGTCAAGAACAAAATGCTTTGGCTATACTCAAGCTTCCTAAGGAATACTGAAACTAGACCGTTTCTCTAGATCTGATGGAGTGACCGAGCTTCAATATCCCTTGTGCTGCGTGCGGCTGGATCCCTTTTAGCGTCATTTAGAACTTGGCGCCAAGAGATGTTGAGATACAGCTAACAGCGAGCTATATGGTGTTGATACTGCTATGGTATTGCTCCCAACAATCTCCTTTTACGCATAGGCATACTCCGCAGCTATCGCAACACCATTGACTCCTCGATTGACGTTTTCGCTTACGAGATTGCTCTCCATTGACCAATTCGCCCAAAACAGGCATTTTCGACCTGGGATTCCACTCATCAGGATGCTCCTTGCACCAAACGCAGTATCTACGGACTCTCAATCGAGTCAAGTTATAAGACAGGGCCCTCTGATTGACTGTCAGCATACTGTTGCCATGACGATGCTTGTTTGTTGTCGTCTCAGCTTCCGAATAGGGCGTATTTCGAAGTTCCTCGGAGAGCGTTTCTCGAAAACGTCGATGAGCGCGTCTGCCTGTATCTTCTGAATTTCCTTTGTGAATTAGATAGCTATTGACTAAGCAAGTATCTAGAATATAGTACCAAAGGGGACGCCAAGTACGAGATTCCCAACGTCGATGAACAGTCATATTCGTCCGAAGTTGATCTGCAATATCAACACCACCTATAAAGTGGTTATGTTGATCGATTCCAAGAGGGATTTCGAGCCATTTACGAACGAATTCTCCAAAAACGGGGCGTACGATATGAGCATTAGTTGAGGTAGGTGCTGGCCGTCGTCGGTGACGTAGTATCGTCTCATCTTTGAGGCGAAATGCAGTTGTCATGGCTAATACGGCATTGTTATCTTGCCAGAGAAAACAGAGTGTATATCCGTTAATCTCGGCAAGTGTTGAGTTCCATACAAGCCCTCGATTATGCTCTTTAAGCTTAATCAACCAATTAGGGAATCCAGGAGCGTTTTTGCGGGTAGTGCCCATACAGCAAATGTCGAGAGCAAGTAGAGCGTGCGCAACGTTAATATTCAAGAATAGATTGTCAAGAAATAAACAAAAAACACGCGTTGGATACTGTTGATGTAGATGTTCTGCAAGTCGGATAACCAATGCAAATGTGGGTGCAAGATGTACTAAATTTGGTCCATTAGGTACCCTTTGTGGCACAACAAGTCCTGCTTTTGGAATGCTCTCAGGACCATTTTCTCGACTGTGCCAAAGCCAATTATAGACGTAGCCACGATCTCCAAGAACCCACACCTTGTAACCCTCTGAAATTGGCTTGTTTTTTAGTTTGACTGTATGATTCGATCGTCCTTGAAAGGGTATCATAGCTTCGTCAATGGTGAGATGAGAGCTTGGTGTCCAATTTGCACTGCAATTTCGTCTAATTATAGACACAATAGGCTCAACAGGCCAT